TTATCTATAACCGAGGCGGATCCACTATCTTTCAAACGAACTCAACAGCTTTTCTGATCTAACCGTTGTGTAAATAAAAATACTTTATTTAGCTTTTTTCCCGACGTTTCGCTAAGATTTTTAGCATCTTCAGGGGAGTTTTTTGTTTATTTACCTGCGCAGCAATAAATATAAAACATTAACAAAACAACAAAAACCAATAAACATATGAATACATAAAAAACAAATTGCTAAGTTTAACACAAAAGAGTTATTGAGTTATTGAGTATTTAACATTAAACTTTATAACGTAAAACTAAATAGCATTACCAACGCTTGTGGTAACTTTGTCTAAACTGAATGTTATTGATAATTTATAAACATAATAAATAAACTGCAGGGATGTCATCAGTATCCTCTTTCTTGTTCATTGCATTGTCCCTTTTCTGCATTATTCTTAAGCTTTCTAATGTGAATCTTGTTTTTGTTCTTTTCTCTACATCGATTCATGTGTTTATTGGTTTTGGTTGTTTTGTTAATGTTTTATATTTATTGCTGCGCAGGTAAATAAACAAAAAACTCCACTGAAGATGCTAAAAATCTTAGCGAAACGTCGGGAAAAAGCTAAATAAAGTATTTTTACTTACACAACGGTTAGATCAGAAAAGTCTAACAAATATAACAATTTCAACCAAACTAAACTGATCGGAAAAATACCACAATAAAAGGTTCTACTTTTTATTGGGCTATTTCACACTAGAATGACAGAACAATTATTCTCACGGTTTCACACTGGATGAAAACTAGCAGAATAATAGCAGAACAAAATGTGTATACGTATAGGACGTTTGAGTGTATTTGTTAAATTTGTGCTCAGTCGATACCTGCCATCTCTGCAAATCACTTCAGCGAAATGAATTAAAAAGAAAATACTAGAGGAGCGACGCCAACACTGTTTTTGTATTCCTTTTTTATGCTTTTTCGCTTGGGAAATCAATCCGTTCAATCTGAAAATCGAGTTGCAATTTAACTAATTTGTCATTAAAAAAAGTGCAATTCAACAATTAACGCTGTAATAAAATTATAGGTAAGGATTTTAATTAGCTAAGTGTGAGTATGTAGTAATAAAGGCTCCTTTTTCTAGTTTTCCACAGAGCAGCGACATAAAATACAACATTTTGTCGCAGAGAATAGCCTCTTTTTTCCATCGTTTAGTTCCACCTTGAATTGTGAAAGAAAACGAAAGTTGCTTGTGTTAGCAGCAGGAACAGCTATTTATAATATTTGCGCTGCAACAGCTGCAATTATAGAAGAAGAAATGCTAAATAAAAAGAAAAGACGTTGTTGGATAAAACCTTGGAGAGAGTCTCGTGATCCTGATGGAGATATCCAGAAACTCTTGAAGGAATATCAATTTTTTGACGATTCCCAGGCGTTTAAAAGCTTTTTAGCAATGAATGAAAGCGAATTTTGCCAAATTATATCTTATATAGGGAAAGATATTGAAAGATGCGATACAAAGCTGCGAAATTGCATACCTGTGAATGAAAAATTAGCGGTAACATTGCGATTGTTGGCCACTGGAGAATGTTTCAAAAAACTTGCAGAAAACACTAAATTCTCGTTGGCTCATTTGAGTACAAGTGTTATAGAAGTATGTTCTGCCATATACAACAATATGCGTCACGCATTCTTAAAGGCAATTAAATTTATTTATTTTTATTTTTTGATTTTGGGGTATAAATAAAGAAAAGGGGGCTGTGGGCTAGAAAAGAATGTTGTTGGATGTTGTCCGCCCCTTTTCCCTTAGTTAAATGGTATATATATTTTTTAGTGGAAATTTGGAGGGAAAAAGTGGAATTTTAAATATTTTCAGAGCTTTTATTTTGAAAACTAATCCCTAATTCGCACTAAGAAACATTTATGCCATTAAACTCAGGGAAAAGGGGCGGACCATATCCACTGTTTTCTTTTCTAGCTCAACGCTCCCCTTTTCTTTACTTCTTCCGATTTAAGGCGATAATTTTACAACAAAATTTTCATTCGCTTTTCAGTCCAAGCCGTGACACAAAAATCAACTCGCTATATTCTTGAATAAAGTTAAGTAAGCGTTTTTTGTGCCTGCTAGTTAATCATAAATAAGTGGATAATGGACGGTTTTTATTAAAATATAGCTCATCTGTATAATTTATAGTTTAATTTAAAAAGCTCGCTAAAATTTTGCTATAAAATTGTCTTACCCGCACTGATGGAATAGCTCTTATATAAAATGGTTTATTTTTTCAGTTTCCGGAGTCCCCAGCGGAATGGTCAGAAATTGTTAAGGATTTTGAAAGAGTTTGGCAATTTCCATTATGCATGGGAGCGCTTGATGGGAAGCACATCGCAATGAAGCCTAGTAAGCAGAACGCAAATTTGTTTTACAACTACAAAAGTTTTCACAGTATTGTATTACTGGCTTTAGGAGATGCATTTGGGAAATTTGTATTCATTGATGTGGGCTTCAATGGCAGAATTAGTGACGGCGGGGTTTTTTCTCGTTCGGTTTTAAGTCGTATTTTAGATAACGATACTTATTTTCCTACTGAAGGAATAATAGGAAATAACAGAAAACTTCCTCATGCCATAGTTGCGGACAATGCTTTTCCACAAGGAAAGCATCTGATGGCCCCATATTATCGAACAAATCAGATTAGAGATCAAATCATATATAACCAAAGATTAAGCAGGGCAAGGCAAAATATTGAAAGGGCATTTGGTATAGCAGTGTTTGCATTATTCAACTTTGCGTTCAACAATTGCGTTCAACTCAACGCAGGGTTGCACGAAAAAAAAGTTGAATGGCTAAATGTTGGCTGGCGACCAACTTTGTTGAAAGCGATTAGTTGAAAGGCCATTCAACCAAAAGTTGAATGCAAAGTTGAACAATGCAAACACCTTTTTATGGCGAATATTTTGATATTTTTTCATATTTTGATATTTTTAGCCATTCAACTTTTTTTTCGTGCAACCCTGCGCCGAGTTGAACGCAAATGTTGAACGCAAAGTTGAACAATGCAAACACACTTTATATAAATTACACTAAATACAATTTAATCTTAATAGTTACAATTCACTGCTTATTAACTATTTATATTAGAGAAAGAGGAAGATAGAGGAGATGAAAAAAATAAATAAATAAAAAATAAAAGAGAGAAAAAGAATCGCTTGACAGAGGGCTAAATGATTACAATTTATCGCTCCCTTTCGGCATAGAATGCAAATAATGCTTTCTTGAAATGCAAAGTGGCCTTAATGCTTCTGAGTTTAAGTGGTAGTTTGTTCCAAAGACGGACAGTATAAACGAAAAACTGACGCTCGGATATTATGGAGTTGAACTTAAGATGCAGGAGTTGAAGTGATCGCGATGACTGTGTAAATTGAAGTCGATTTTTCAGATGCGTATGTGCACCTGTTACCAAGATTTTATGAAGCATTGTTAGGCACTTAAGCTTCAACAAATCAGTAAGTGATATCGAGGATATCTTGAGAGCCCATTAGGAGATGTGGTCATAACGTTTTTTACAATAGATATATCTGGCGATGTTATTATACAGCAATTGAGTTTTTTGGTACATTGGCTGTCACTATTGGCATAAAGTTCGCATCCATACAACAACGTTGGCAACAAATATGATTTAGCTATAAGCAGCCCGGTTTTTACCGGCAATAGGTTTTGAGCTGACCATAGAGATCTGAGCATACCATATACCTTCACAATTGCACCATAGATGTGATTTTTCCACGTCAATGTTCGGTTAAATAACACACCCAAATTCTTAGCTAGGTCAACAAAAGGTATCACAGAACTGTTCAATAGAACCTTATCATAGTCATCTAAGTTGAAGCGTTTTTACCTGCCTTTTATTAACTCGGGATGTAACTATGTAATATTGATGCGCCTAAAAGATGCAGCGATTTCTATTCTCAAGTTACATACCTGATGACAGTACGAATGGCAATTATAATAGGGAGGTTTTAGTTTTTTAAACTATAATTTTATTTAAATATAGCGACACACTGGGATTTATTTGGGTTTAAGACTAATCCATTATTTCGAGCCCACTGACTTACCAGCTCCAAATCAGAGTTTAGTTTGTCAACAGGGCTACTCAAATGCAATTGAACATCGTCGGCGTGCATGTGAATTTTACTATGGTTTAATACCTTAGGAAGGTGATTTATATATAAAATGAACAGTAAGGGACCGAGTATCGATCCTTGGGGAACACCTCTAGATATAGGCATAAAATTAGATATTGTATTGCCAACACTGACAGCTTGCGATCGTCCGAAAAGGTACGAACTAACTAGGCTAAGCGCTGAGGTTGAAAAGTTAAAGAGATTCTTTAATTTCAGACATAGCAGTTTGTGATTGACCGTATCAAATGCTTTCGAGTGATCCAGCAGGGTTAGTAGAGTTACGTAATTTTTGTCCATATTTATTCGAATATCATCTGAGATGGTAAGGAGTGCACTG